ACATTTGATAGATTCGATTATGTTATCAGCTTTACTTTTCAATTTAAGTGAAATTGAAAGCTTGTAAAACCAGTTTTTTCTGTTCGATCTGTTTTTCTCCCAACAAATGATAGAGTGCTCTCTCCTCTCTTATTTACTGTATACATACAGAATTTAAAAAGAAGCCAGCTCTAAAGCAGTCGACACAGACAGTCCAGAAGATGAGGAACTTTACTTTCCAGAGGAAGAATTAGATCCACACACAATAAGTGAGCTCCTATTTGCAGACGATCAGTGCCTGTCCTACAATAAGTGGAGTAGACTGCAAGAACATTTGAAGAGGCTAAGTTCAACATGCAGACGATATAACCTGAACATAAATACTATTAAAACTGAAGTCATGCAGGCCTGAAGAATTCCTAGTCCGCTGCATATTGGGCTGAATGGCACTTGTCTAATGCAAGTTACAGAATATAAATACCTAGGAAGAATATTCTCGGAGGATGGAAGAATAGATCGGAAAATTGAAACAAGATGCCAACGAGTCAGTGCATTTATAAACCAACTGACAATATTATTAAGACACCCAAACATAAGTATGAGCACCATGAAACAGATTATAAACAGTGTTTCATTCCAACACTGTGCTACCAGTGCCAGACTGGGACATTATCAAAGGCTAACCTGCGTACAATTTAACACTTGCAAAATGAGATGCCTGAGAAAAGCGGCCAACTTAACTATCCCAGAAACAGTTAGATATGATATCAGGCAGAGTTTAGGAACAAAAGTGCAGCAAATTCACTGAGAAACAGAAGATCACACGGTTGGGTTGTTTACTAAGAACAACTACCAGCGCAGGAGCTACACATGAACAGATCTGAAGTAAAAGCAAGAGGCCATCCTTTGAAACATGGATTGATATCATTAAAGAGCTTCTACAGCGACATAAAATGACAGTGGCCATTGCTGCCCATCATGAAATGGATTGCAAACTGTTCTTCTCTACAAGGCTTAATGGCAGAGGTGAAAGTGCTGGTGATTCTGGTGAATGGTTTTACTGTGACTACATCTTGTTACATTAGCTTTGCATTCATGATCCTGTTGTGCAGAAAACAGCTTCAACTGTTAGACCACTCATTGTGTGCACTTGATATTTGTTGTTATAAATTCTTTTTTTTGGTTTTGTTACTTGGATCACTTTATTGCATGCAGCTATCTCCCTTAGTTACCCAGTCTCCTTCCTAACCAAGTCACACAAGGAGAATCTCTGTACAGCGCTCGCTGTCTCTAGCACCTGCAAGGATTCATTCTCTTCCTCTTCTTCACGTTCACCAGCTGTAAACTGCGGTGAAAAGTTCTGGTTGTTCATCCACTTCTGGACTTTAGTCTTGCAGCGGAACTTGAGTTTTACGTACACATCAGTTTTTTTTAGATCTGATATATTTGTATGCAGAATGTTGGTTCCTGGCCTCTCATGCAGATGTACTCTGACTAGTTGACTTTTGTGACATGCTTGCTGAACATGTAAGGTGGAGGGGACATTGGGTCTGTTCTCCCCCCTGTCCCCAAGTGGGGCCCCTAACCCACATAGGAAGCAATCTTCTTCTTCGCCTTCACCAGCTGTAAACTCCGGCAGAAAGTTCTGGTTGCTTGTTCACTTCTGGACTGCAGTCCTGTTCCAGAACCTGAGTGTTGCATGTGCATCCATTTTACAGATCTGACTCATTGGCATGCAGACTGCTGGTTCCTTGCCTCTCAGGCAGATGCACTCCGACTTCGAAGGAACCTCCAAGTTAGTCGACTCTTACAACATGCTTTTGGGCAGGCAGTGGGTCTATTCTTGTTTTCCCTATAGTAGGGCCCCGGAACCCCCACCGGTATACCGTAGGGAGCAATAATTCCTAATGTCCATGTCTTCTAGTTGGTGGATCTAGTATGAACTGATGTAGTTGGTGGATCTAGTATGAACTGATGTAGTTGGTGGATCTAGTATGAACTTATGTAGTTGGTGGATCTAGTATGAACTGATGTAGTTGGTGGATCTAGTATGAACTGATGTAGTTAGTGGATCTAGTATGAACTGATGTAGTTGGTGGATCTAGTATGAACTGATGTAGTTGGTGGATCTAGTATGAACTGATGTAGTTGGTGGATCTAGTATGAACTGATGTAGTTGGTGGATCTAGTATGAACTTATGTAGTTGATGGATCTAGTATAAACTGATGTAGTTGGTGGATCTAGTATGAACTGATGTAGTTGGTGGATCTAGTATGAACTAATGTAGTTGGTGGATCTAGTATGAACTGATGTAGTTGGTGGATCTAGTATGAACTGATGTAGTTGGTGGATCTAGTATGAACTGATGTAGTTGGTGGATCTAGTATGAACTGATGTAGTTGGTGGATCTAGTATGAACTGATGTAGTTGGTGGATCTAGTATGAACTGATGTAGTTGGTGGATCTAGTATGAACTGATGTAGTTGGTGGATCTAGTATGAACTGATGTAGTTGGTGGATCTAGTATGAACTGATGTAGTTGGTGGATCTAGTATGAACTGATGTAGTTGGTGGATCTAGTATGAACTGATGTAGTTGGTGGATCTAGTATGAACTGATGTAGTTGGTGGATCTAGTATGAACTGATGTAATTGGTGGATCTGTGATGTAGTTGGTGGATCTGGTATGAACTGATGTAGTTGGTGGATCTGGTATGAACTGATGTAGTTGGTGGATCTGGTATGAACTGATGTAGTTGGTGGATCTGGTATGAACTGATGTAGTTGGTGGATCTGGTATGAACTGATGTAGTTGGTGGATCTGGTATGAACTGATGTAGTTGGTGGATCTGGTATGAACTGATGTAGTTGGTGGATCTGGTATGAACTGATGTAGTTGGTGGATCTGGTATGAACTGATGTAGTTGGTGAATCTAGTATGAACTGATGTAGTTGGTGAATCTGGTATGAACTGTTGTAGTTGGTGGATCTGGTATGAACTGATGTAGTTGGTGGATCTAGTATGAACTGTTATTGTTGGTGGATCTGGTATGAACTGATGTAGTTGGTGGATCTAGTATGAACTGTTGTTGTTGGTGGATCTGGTATGAACTGATGTAGTTGGTGGATCTAGTATGAACTGTTGTTGGTGGATCTGGTATGAACTGATGTAGTTGGTGGACAACTGATTGCTCTGCTACAGGCAGCACACTTACTCTGAATGTATTTGTGATCTCCCTTTATGAGGTTGTGAAATATGGCTACTAGTCATCATAGACAATTGCTGTGGCTCTTAGATCTCACAGCTTATTTGTTTCTAGTGCTTGCAGTTTTCACAGCTTTCACTGATGCTCGTCACTAGCCCGACTCGGGTTTCCAGGTGGTTGGTTGTTTGGTCAGTTGGTTGAGAATGTTTTGAGAAATTAGGCTACAGTGCTTAAGTGTAATACATTGACATTCAGGTCATCTGAACCCTGAAGAGGAGATGTCACATCACCCAAGGTCAGATCCCTGTGTGATACCGACTACATCACCCAAGGTCAGATCCCTGTGTGATACTGACTACATCACCCAAGGTCAGATCCCTGTGTGATACTGACCACATCACCCAAGGTCAGATCTCTGTGTGATACTGACCACATCACCTAAGGTCAGATCTCTGTGTGATACTGACTACATCACCCAAGGTCAGATCCCTGTGTGATACTGACCACATCACCCAAGGTCAGATCCCTGTGTGATACTGACTACATCACCCACGGTCAGATCCCTGTGTGATACTGACCACATCACCCACGGTCAGATCCCTGTGTGATACTGACCACATCACCCACGGTCAGATCCCTGTGTGATACTGACCATGTCACCCAAGGTCAGATCCCTGTGTGATACTGACCATGTCACCCAAAAGTGTCATTTGGTCCTAAAAATACTGTATCCTAGATATGTCTGGAAGGGACAGACCTGAGGTCTTGTATCTGGGGTGTTGTTACGCATGAATGTGATTTAATTACAGCTGACCATGTATCTGCATGTGGGGTTTTCCGCTGTTCTCCTTTTAGTAATCCAGTGTTGAGTTAACTACATGAACACTGGTTGAGCATAGATGTAGCATTTAAAAATTGCTTGGTGTGCATGGATTAAACATCTTGATTATTGCCCGGTGTGTGTGTATGTGGGTCAAAAACTCTACTTTGACACGGTATGTAAGGATCTGCAACTTGACCGTGTCATGTATTGCAACATTCTTGTTAATACAAAGTCATTTAAGACAAACACTTGGTTAACTTGTTTGGTCCCTGCAGGGATGCATCTTCATAATATATGTATTAGTCCCTGGTAGGCATGCCCATGTTTTAACACAAACTCTTGATTCATTGGAATTTGTGTTCACAAAGTTTTACTTTGGATGCAAAATTTGACCATGACCTGGTGTGTAACTCAACTATTGCCTGGTGTGTAACTTAACTATTGCCTGGTGTGTAACTTAACTATTGCCTGGTGTGTAACTCAACTATTGCCTGGTGTGTAACTCAACTATTGCCTGGTGTGTAACTCAACTATTGCCTGGTGTGTAACTAAACTATTGCCTGGTGTGTAACTCAACTATTGCCTGGTGTGTAACTCAACTATTGCCTGGTGTGTACGCAGACAAATTTGGTATATAGAGAGACAATATTTGCAGATCACTTGGTATGTAGGGAGACAATGTCTGCAGATAAACTGTTATGTACAGAGATATTATTTGAAGATAACTTGGTGTGTAGAGAGATAATATTTTAACAAATTATAGAGGATTCTTGATACTGGAATCTCTGAATGAGTCTTTAGTTGATCTACTTGAAGAAGATCATAGCTAAGAAGCCGTGTGACATGTGGAAAGAGCACTACAGACAAATTCAAACTATCTAATGTGCAGAGGGATGGAGGACATTGTTGTTGTGTTTCTCTTGTAACATAAGTTCTGGATATGTTCTTTTCTATTCTAGAGGCTGTTTTATTCCTCCTTTGTTCCTCCACAGTGTTTAAAGCAGAAGACCGGGAGACAGTACCTCCATCCTCGCAACCGCTGGAAGACATCCTCAAGAGAACAACACCAACGGCTAAGCTTGCCACCAATGAGGTCTTGAGTGCTGAGGCCATTCGTGTGTTGGAGAGGATGCCCAACTTGAGCTTCATGCAGTCCCGGGTTCTCATGTTCCCAGTGAAACAGTAAACCTTCTTTTGGGGGTTTAGCCAACTACAGGCAGTGTCCAGCATCGGTCACTCATTGCTAGAATTGGTTACATGATTTGTGTGGGCAGTACCTTGACTTGATTGTGATCATGGTTAGATATTGTGTACGCAGTATTGCCTGGCATTGATTACCTGGCCAAATTGGACTCTGGGCAGTTTTGATTTGACTTGTGATTAGCATAGTTAAGGACATTGTGTTATAGTTAAGGACATTGTGTTATGGTTAAGGACATTGTGTTATAGTTAAGGATATTGTGTTGGCATGTTAAAGGACATTGTGTCGCAGAATTGTCCGATATCATCTTCAGGGAATCTAGTCATCGGCATTTATCGAGCCACTCTCCACAGTTTCATGGTGACTGGGAGCTACATCACAGCAGCAGACAGAACTGTTTGTTTCCCGCCTGATTGAAATATTTCTCCATGATATATGTAATGTATAGGGGATGTATCATTCCTGGTTGCAAGTAAACTGGACTGTTCACACCTGTAGGGGGGTGTACTTACATGACACACTTCAGATATGGTTGACACAGGTTATTCATTGCTGCTGCGCAGACAGACAGGAAACTGGGATAGTCAGACAACAGATTCAAATGATGACTGCAGGAAGACAACCAAGTAATTAGAAGAAGTAATCACAGTTTGACAAGCTTTATCATTTATTTGTTACAACTGTGGGAAAATTGAAACAGAAAAACTGTGTGTCAGAGACTGACTGCCTCTCTTACTCGCATGTCCAGGGAAGACAGAATAGACTGACTCTTTCACACACATGTCCAGGGAAGACAGAATAGACTGACTCTCTCACACACATGTCCAGGGAAGACAGAATAGACTGACACTGCCTCCTTTACTCGCATGTTGGGGGAAGACAGAATAGACTGACTCTCTCACACACATGTCAAGGGAAGACAGAATAGACTGACACTGCCTCCTTTACTCGCATGTTGGGGGAAGACAGAATAGACTGACTCTCTCACACACATGTCAAGGGAAGACAGAATAGACTGACACTGCCTCCTTTACTCGCATGTTGGGGGAAGACAGAATAGACTGACTCTCTCACACACATGTCAAGGGAAGACAGAATAGACTGACACTGCCTCCTTTAATTGCATGTTGGGGGAAGACAGAATAGACTGACTCACTCACACACATGTCCAGGAGGAAGACAGAATAGACTGACTGCCTATCTTACTCACATGTTGGAGGAAGACAGAATAGACTGACTGCCTCTCTTATTCGCATGTTGGATGAAGATGGAATAGACTGACTGCCTCTCTTACTCGCATGTTAGAAGAAGACAGAATAGACTGACTGCCTCTCTTACTCGCATGTAGGAGGAAGACAGAATAGACTGACTGCCTCTCTTACTCGCATGTTAGAGGAAGACAGAATAGACTGACTGCCTCTCTTACTCGCATGTTAGAGGAAGACAGAATAGACTGACTGCCTTTCTTACTCGCATGTTAGAGGAAGACAGAATAGACTGACTGCCTCTCTTATTCACATGTAGGAGGAAGACAGAATAGACTGACTGCCTCTCTTGCTCTGCATGTTAGAAGAAGACAGAATAGACTGACTGCCTCTCTTACTCCCATGTTGGATGAAGATGGAATAGATTAACTGCCTCTCTTACTCGCATGTTAGAGGAAGACAGAATAGACTGACTGCCTCTCTTACTCGCATGTAGGAGGAAGACAGAATAGACTGACTGCCTCTCTTATTCACATGTTAGAGGAAGACAGAATAGACTGACTGCCTCTCTTACTCGCATGTTAGAGGAAGACAGAATAGACTGACTGCCTCTCTTACTCGCATGTTAGAGGAAGACAGAATAATAGACTGAGGAAGACAGAATGACTGACTGCCTCTCTTACTCCCATGTTAGAGGAAGACAGAATAGACTGACTGCCTCTCTTACTCCCATGTTAGAGGAAGACAGAATAGACTGACTGCCTCTCTTACTCCCATGTTAGAGGAAGACAGAATAGACTGACTGCCTCTCTTACTCCCATGTTAGAGGAAGACAGAATAGACTGACTGCCTCTCTTACTCCCATGTTAGAGGAAGACAGAATAGACTGACTGCCTCTCTTACTCCCATGTTAGAGGAAGACAGAATAGACTTACTCCCATGTTAGAGGAAGACAGAATAGACTGACTGCCTCTCTTATTCACATGTAGGAGGAAGACAGAATAGACTGACTGCCTCTCTTACTCCCATGTTGGAGGAAGACAGAATAGACTGACTGCCTCTCTTACTCCCATGTAGGAGGAAGACAGAATAGACTGACTGCCTCTCTTACTCCCATGTTAGAGGAAGACAGAATAGACTGACTGCCTCTCTTATTCGCATGTTAGAGGAAGACAGAATAGACTGACTGCCTCTCTTACTCCCATGTTAGAGGAAGACAGAATAGACTGACTGCCTCTCTCTACTCCCATGTTAGAGGAAGACAGAATAGACTGACTGCCTCTCTTACTCCCATGTTAGAGGAAGACAGAATAGACTGACTGCCTCTCTTACTCCCATGTTAGAGGAAGACAGAATAGACTGACTGCCTCTCTTACTCCCATGTTAGAGGAAGACAGAATAGACTGACTGCCTCTCTTACTCCCATGTTAGAGGAAGACAGAATAGACTGACTGCCTCTCTTACTCCTCCCATGTTAGAGGAAGACAGAATAGACTGACTGCCTCTCTTACTCCCATGTTAGAGGAAGACAGAATAGACTGACTGCCTCTCTTACTCCCATGTTAGGAAGACAGAATAGACTGACTGCCTCTCTTACTCCCATGTTAGAGGAAGACAGAATAGACTGACTGCCTCTCTTACTCCCATGTTAGAGGAAGACAGAATAGACTGACTGCCTCTCTTACTCCCATGTTAGAGGAAGACAGAATAGACTGACTGCCTCTCTTACTCCCATGTTAGAGGAAGACAGAATAGACTGACTGCCTCTCTTACTCCCATGTTAGAGGAAGACAGAATAGACTGACTGCCTCTCTTACTCCCATGTTAGAGGAAGACAGAATAGACTGACTGCCTCTCTTACTCCCACTGACTGCCTACTCCCATGGAGGAGACAGAATAGACTGACTGCCTCTCTTACTCCCATGTTAGAGGAAGACAGAATAGACTGACTGCCTCTCTTACTCCCATGTTAGAGGAAGACAGAATAGACTGACTGCCTCTCTTACTCCCATGTTAGAGGAAGACAGAATAGACTGACTGCCTCTCTTACTCCCATGTTAGAGGAAGACAGAATAGACTGACTGCCTCTCTTACTCCCATGTTAGAGGAAGACAGAATAGACTGACTGCCTCTCTTACTCCCATGTTAGAGGAAGACAGAATAGACTGACTGCCTCTCTTACTCCCATGTTAGAGGAAGACAGAATAGACTGACTGCCTCTCTTACTCCCATGTTAGAGGAAGACAGAATAGACTGACTGCCTCTCTTACTCCCATGTTAGAGGAAGACAGAATAGACTGACTGCCTCTCTTACTCCCATGTTAGAGGAAGACAGAATAGACTGACTGCCTCTCTTACTCCCATGTTAGAGGAAGACAGAATAGACTGACTGCCTCTCTTACTCCCATGTTAGAGGAAGACAGAATAGACTGACTGCCTCTCTTACTCCCATGTTAGAGGAAGACAGAATAGACTGACTGCCTCTCTTACTCCCATGTTAGAGGAAGACAGAATAGACTGACTGCCTCTCTTACTCCCATGTTAGAGGAAGACAGAATAGACTGACTGCCTCTCTTATTCGCATGTTAGAGGAAGACAGAATAGACTGACTGCCTCTCTTATTCGCATGTTAGAGGAAGACAGAATAGACTGACTGCCTCTCTTACTCCCATGTTAGAGGAAGACAGAATAGACTGACTGCCTCTCTTACTCCCATGTTAGAGGAAGACATAGAGAGGAAGACAGAATAGACTGACTGCCTCTCTTTGGAGGACTCCCATGTTAGAGGAAGACAGAATAGACTGACTGCCTCTCTTACTCCCATGTTAGAGGAAGACAGAATAGACTGACTGCCTCTCTTACTCGCATGTTAGAGGAAGACAGAATAGACTGACTGCCTCTCTTACTCCCATGTTAGAGGAAGACAGAATAGACTGACTGCCTCTCTTACTCCCATGTTAGAGGAAGACAGAATAGACTGACTGCCTCTCTTACTCCCATGTTACTAGACTGACTGCCTCATGTTAGAGGAAGACAGAATAGACTGACTGCCTCTCTTATGTTAGAGGAAGACAGAATAGACTGACTGCCTCTAGAGGAAGACAGAATAGACTGACTCCCATGTTAGAGGAAGACAGAATAGACTGACTGCCTCTCTTATTCGCATGTTAGAGGAAGACAGAATAGACTGACTGCCTCTCTTATTCGCATGTTAGAGGAAGACAGAATAGACTGACTGAATGTTAGAGGAAGACAGAATAGACTGACTGCCTCTCTTACTCCCATGTTAGAGGAAGACAGAATAGACTGACTGCCTCTCTTACTCCCATGTTAGAGGAAGACAGAATAGACTGACTGCCTCTCTTACTCCCATGTTAGAGGAAGACAGAATAGACTGACTGCCTCTCTTACTCCCATGTTAGAGGAAGACAGAATAGACTGACTGCCTCTCTTACTCCCATGTTAGAGGAAGACAGAATAGACTGACTCCCATGTTAGAGGAAGACAGAATAGACTGACTGCCTCTCTTACTCCCATGTTAGAGGAAGACAGAATAGACTGACTCCCATGTTAGAGGAAGACAGAATAGACTGACTCCCATGTTAGAGGAAGACAGAATAGACTGACTCCCATGTTAGAGGAAGACAGAATAGACTGACTCCCATGTTAGAGGAAGACAGAATAGACTGACTGCCTCTCTTACTCCCATGTTAGAGGAAGACAGAATAGACTGACTGCCTCTTTTACTCCCATGTCATAAAAGTTGACTAATTATGCGCT